ATCTGTTTGTGATGGTGGGTATGGAGGTTCTCCACTTTAATTGTGTTGACATTTATCTGCTTTTTTATGTCCAGGGTTTTTTGTTTTTTTTAAAGTTAGGTGCACCAGTGTTTGGTGTGTATATATATTTACTATTCTTATCTCTTCCTATTGAACTGTTTCCTTAACCAATATGCAGGGACCTTCTTTCCCCCATTCTGATCAGTTTTGGCTTGAATTCTACTTTGTCTGAAAATAGGACAGCTACTGCTGCTTGTTTTCAGTCTCCTGTTGGATGAAATATTGTTTCCATTCTTTAATTTTTAGTCTAGAAATTTCTTTTTTGATTAAATGTGTTTCTTCTATATAGCATTCCATTGGGTTTTGGGTTTTGGTTCAATTTGGCAGTCTGTCTTTTGATTGGGGAATTGAGACCATTCACATTGAGAGTTATTACTAAAAAATACTGACTTATTCCTATCATTGCATTATTTCCCTGTGGCTGATTTCCATTTTTTTCTTTCTGTTCACCTGCTCGAACTGCCTGGTATATTCATTACATTAAACTTTTTTGGCATTGTTGGATCTATTCTTTCTTTCTAGGATATCCTTGAGAATTTTTTGGAGCACTGGTTTGGTGACCATGAATTTCTTAAGATGCTCTTTGTTATGCAAAAACTTATATCTCCACCAATTTTAAAAGAGAATTTTGCAGGATATGTAAGTCTAGGTTGGAAGTTGTTTGTTTTCAGGGCTTGAGGTACTTCTCTCTAAGCTCCTCTGGCCTTACGGGTTTGTGTTGAGAAGTGTGCTGTAATTCTAATTGGGTACCTGTTATGGATTGTATCTGGATGTCCCCCCGAAAGCCTCATGCGGTCATAGGTGGGGCTTTTCAGACATGGCTGATCTAGGGTGTACAATGCTGGGATTAAGAATGTGATGCAGAGAAAAAAAAGAAAAAAGAATGTGATGCATGTATTAAGAGTGCAATGCTGGAATTAAGGGTGCCCCACACTGGGTATGAGTGCTACCCACCAAAGGGTGGGTACCTTGGAGAGTATTCTCCTTTTTTTTTCTTTTCGGTACCAGCGATTGAACTTGGGTCCTTGCGCTTGCGCAGCAGGCGGTGAAACCATTGAGCTAAATCCCCGGCTCCCAGTACCCTGGATAGAATGTAAAGGACAGAAAGAAGGTTTGCTGCTGCTTTGCTACTTCGCTGCTGGCTGCCTTCTGCCTGCCCTACTTTGCCATGGGCTGTTTCTCCTCTGTGATGCCTCTCTGCCATGCCGCCTTGCCTTGGAGGCAATTGACTATGGACTGAAACCTCTACAAACTGAGCTGAAATAAACCTTTTCTCCTTAAACTAGTGGGTATTCAGCATTTTGTCTCAGCAACAAGAAAAGTAATTAAGATAGTACCTTTAAAGGCAATTTGTTGCTTTTCTCCAACAGCTTTTGAAACTCTGTGTATTAGAGTTCTGGGATTTTTTTTAGGGGGGGTACCAAACTAGTGTCATTGTGGTTGCAGGGCAGGCGGTGGAACTACTGAGCTAAATCCCCGGCCCAGTTCTGGGATTTTGATTATGATGTGTTAAGAAGTTGTTTTCTTTTTTTTTCTTTTTGGTACCAGGGATTGAACTCGGGTCCTTGTGCTTGTGCAGCAGGTGGCAAAACCACTGAGCAAAATCCCCAGCCCAAGAAGTTGTTTTCTAATCATGCCTATTTGGCACTCTATATGCCTCAATTATCTATATGTTGACTTCTTTCCCTACCTTTGAAAAGTTTTCTATTATTTCTATAAACAGGTTATGCCGTTTATGCTGTCCTCTAATTTTGCACTAATTACAATTAATTTTAGTCTTCTTTGTGTCATCTACCAGCTATGAATCCATTTTCCATGTTCACTTTAAGGTATCTCTGAGTATATGGTTACTTGCATCAGCCCTATCTTCTATTTCTGACACTGTCACTTCTGCTGCCCATATTTTCAACAGAATTTTTTATCTCCTAGATTTCCCTTTGGTACTCAATCGTGGATTTTAATTCTTTACCAAGTTGTCATTCATCTTTGGTACTGTTTTATCTGTTAGCTTTTTATTAGTGTCTTCTATAAGCTCACTGGACTTTTCTTATTATTAAGTCCATTATTTGTTTAGATAGATCTTGTCTGAGTTTACTGGGCACCTTAGTTATCTGTTTTTGTTTCGTCTTTATCATTTCATATAATTGACCTGTTTGGTGTTTGATTTCCTCTCTATCAATGCCCCATGGATCAGCCTTGGGGTATTTGGGAGTTTTTGGAGGCATGTTGTTGCCTTGTCTTCTAATGCTTCTATTGCTTTTGGGTTTTGCTGCTGTTGTTGTTATATGCTCAGGGTGCAGGTTGATTTTAGTAGAAAGACTTCTGCTGGTAGTACAGCAATCTTTTTAGTGTCTGCTTTTCAGTGATACATGATGGGTGTGGCTAACTATAGGCCTCTGCATCTGTCCTAAGATCTAACCACCTCCATTAATTTGGGAGAAGAGAGCGGTATAATTGGCCAAGCCAATTCTTAAGAACCTCCAGAAATGAAACATAGTATTGATGACACAAAGACAATCCAGGTATTGGCACACAGAGAAAACCAATTAATAGCAACAACTATGCCACCCTGACATTAGCTATAAAATCATCAACAGTAATAGAGTCAAAGACATAGTGAATATTGGCATACCATAAGAACCAATAAAAGCTACCACTATACCAACTTTAACCACAGAAAAGAGATCTATAATTATAATATAGACATGATGACAAGCCAAATATTAACATACAGCAAATATCTACTAAATGCAACAGCTATTGCCACCCTTAACAATAGGAAAGAATTCAAGAGCGATACCATAGTTAACTATCTAAAGATCAATAATTTTAATAGTAATACTAGTAAAGTCAGAGGGGTAGAAATGGGCAAATGAAAGAAAATTTGAAAGATAAAGAAAAAGAAAGACAAGAAGACAAGAAGAGGTGTGAAAAGTGAAATAAAGGATTCTATTCAGGAGTAAAACTTAACAGAATTTGACCAAAGTAACAGAAAAGAACAAACAAGAAAAAAGAACAAAGGAAAGAAGAGAAAGGGAAAAGAAAGAAACCTAATCCCCCAATAAAGAAAAAAATAAATAAAAATATCTGTGTTTTTGAGTGAGTGGTTTCTTCCCAGGGTCTGCAGCATTGGCATCCATCCACCAGATATGGGAGTGAGACAATGAGTCACTGCTAAGACCTATTTTGTTTCCACACTCATATTTTTGTCTATGATGCTGTATCCTGCCCCGATTTCCCATTGGGCATGGTCGGTCAAATGATGTCTGCCCTAGGGCTGTACACACACTGGCAATTCCCACCTTCTGTATCCCTGTGCACACTCTAAGTCATGGTTTTCCCTGCCTAGCTTTAAGAGCTGTGTGTTTGTGAGGTGTACCCTTACTTTAGAGGTTACTTTGTCTATACACTTGAAGCTGAAGCAATCCAAGCCAGGGGGTATCTCTCATGTCACTAGAAACAGGTCTCCTTCTCCAGGAACTGAGGTCAGCTTTCCAGGCTGCTTTGTTCTTTTCTCTGCATTGTGCTGTTTTTCCAGTCTCACTGTGGTTTCTACTTTTGTTAGTGGTAGTGGTTTGTCAGCTTCTCCCAGTTCCAGGAGATCTACTTCTTTTTTCTCTTCACCAAGCTGTTGTCTTCCAGGTATCTCAATTCTAGATGTCAGAGAGGCTATATCATTTGCCGCTTTCGCAAGTAAATCTGGAAGTCCTCTTTCATGAATGTCTTTATGCTTTCCTGGCTCCCTCCATGTCTTGAATCAATTCAAAACATTTACCTTTCATGGTCATTTTAATTTTGGGAGAAGTCACACAGTGCCAGATCCAGTGAATAAGGTGCATAAGGACACACCCACTTTACTGTTTTTATGAGCCTGCCTTTCTGTTGCATGATATTCAGCAGCAATCTTCATTATATTTTTGATAACTCCTTGTAAAGACATTCATAAAAGACTTCCAGAACTGCTTCAGAAAGTGGCAAGAACAATGGATGGGAAAAATATGCTTGAAGTTAGAGGGAGTATTTTGAGGGGAGTTAATGGCAATTTGTCTTTTATTGTAACAAATTTTTAAAATTTAAACCTTTACCATCTATTTTGATTATCCCTTGTATCAATAGCCTATTATTTAAGAAATTTAAGATACTAAATTTACCTTTATCAATCTATTTGTAAACAATAAACTGTACCACAGTCTTCCCAAATAAGTTCTGCCAATTAAGTAGTACTTTAAGAAAAAAAAAAAAAACTGTCACCATTTTCTTTAGTGATGCCCTCTTCTCACTGTGTGAGAACAGTCACCCTCAGGCCTCTCACCTGACATGGTGGTGTGGGTCTTGGCACCACCAAGCTCCTCCTGGGTGACATCCTCATTGGTAACAGACTTCACCACATCAGGGCCCGTGATAAACAAGTAGGAGGTGTCCTGAAATCAGATATCCAGAACAGTCAATCTCAGATCACCAGAGCTGCCCAGGCTTAGAGTTTGCTCAGCCAAGAAGAGAAATGCACAAAAGGATAATACATAGTAGGGATCAAATACACGTGCCCAGACTAAAGACTCAAGTTTTCCAGGCCTCGCTATCTACTTAAAAATAAAATCTTTGTTGCATTGCTCTATCTCAATAAGTTAACATGCGGTGCCATTAGCATCTCAGGGTCAATCATCTGTCAAACACTGTAACATGGGGCCCTGACAACTTGCTGTGCACCAAATGCTTCTCTAAGCACTTCACAGAATTGTGTCATTAAAAGCTAGATTCTCTTATCAACCCCCTCTACATATAGGGAAACTGAGGCACCAAGATGGTATCCACCACTGTAAGTGAAGCCACTTTAAAGATACTGATATCGGGCCGGGGATTTAGCCCAGTGGTTCCATCGCCTGCCTCGCAAGGACAAGGACCCGAGTTCGATCCCCGGCACAAAAAAAAAAAAAAGATACTGATATCAATGCTTTGGTGTTATGAGACAGGGTCACAGGCTTCTTATTTTTAGTTTCTAATTCATAGATAATAAGGTATATAATAAAAAAATTTTATACAGAAGAGTAGGGGACATTGTGGAAAGTAAGTTTATAGTCCAGCCCTTATTTCCAAGCTTCCATCCCTGCTCCTCTATGAAACAAACACTGTCAGTTTCTTACCTATTTTTATAAGACACCCACGCATACATGAGCACGTTTTTTCTCATTCTCTAATAAAAATAGTTCCTTTTTAACCCAAACACTTTCTCTGTAATACAATCACTTTCCTTATACATATCTACCATTAAATTCACTTCTTTTAAAACATACTACAGCTTACAAATCATTTCATGTCAGTGTAATGGGACTATGCACCAAAACTGAACACCATCTAGGGATGGTCACTTAGATTGTTTCCAGTATTTCACTAATATGCAACTCTGCAATAAATAACTTACTATAATCACCTCTGTAGACTCTGTTCATATTTTCTGCTCATTTTTCTAAAGGATAGTTGGCATTTTATACTAAGGAAATTAGACCATGGTCTATCAATCTTTTCTCTTATGGTTCCTTGTTTGAGATCTTGCTAGAAAGATCTAGCTAGAAAGGTCTTCCCTATTCCATAAAAACATTTCTAAACTAATGTTCATAGCAGCATTATTTATAAAAATTAAAAAACTTGAAACAGCTAGTCTAGCATGTAAGAAGCTGAACTAACAAGATTTTACTCTTAAGTAAAAAGCTAAACAAACTGAAAAAAATCAATAGCTCCTAGATCCAGAGTGTTGGAGTCACTCCAAAATTGGGAACCTGACAGGCAAATGCAGAGAATTCATACTTGCCAGAGGAGAAACTCATGAGTTCAAACACCCACGGGAGCCAGGGCTGAGGTAAGGAAAGCTGAGCCGTGTCTGGCAAGTTACTACAGGTTCAATTTGGACAATCTGAGAGATAAAAACACAAGAGCCTTATCACTGGGAACCTCACACTTTTTCGAGTTTTACCTCAAGGAACTTGACCATAGTCAGTGACTACTGGAGAAAAATCTTATTGTGGTTCTGATCTAGAATGTCCCCCAAAAATCTCATGTGCTTAGAGATGGGGCTGTTGGAAGGTTCTTGGATTGTGAGGGCACTATTAATCCACTGATTATTCCATTGCTAAATATCCTGTTAGGAGTCAGGGCTTGGTAGGAGGTAGGTCATTGGGGGCATGACTTGGAAGTGTATATCTCCTTCCCAGGCTCCTCTCTTCTCTGCTTCCTGGCTGCCATGACATGAGCAGCTTTCCTCTGCCATGCCCCTCTGTCGTGCTGTTTCTACCTTGGAGCCAGGTGACCATGGACTGAAACTGTGAGCCAAAATAATCCACTCCTCCTTTAAGTTGGGGGTGTTAGGTATTGTGTCCTGCGACAGGAAAGTGACTAAGATAAACTCTCTCTTGCTTCTGGCATGGAGATGAAAAAAGGGACCATTTCAAAGAGCACCAGAGCACTCTGTTCTTATCAACACTATATTTAACTATTTAAAACCTAACTTGCTAGAGTTTCACTGGAGATTGACCTCAGGAAAGAAAAATACCCAACTCCTTGCATGTGGGAGAAGGGATATATTCAATTCCAGCCCACTCTACCCATCTTGTTCCACCAAGTGGAACCAAGAGGGGAGGGGACTGGGAGGCACAGGTGAGACCTCAAACCAGAAGTACAAATTCACTACAAGACTGAGATCTACTCATAGGACTAAAATACACTTAACACCTGCCCACCACATTCCTAAAGGATGACAATTTCTGCCACTCAGTTTATCATACCAGCTATCGAGAAAAAAATGTGATATATGTGAACACAAAAAACACAAGTTAACTAAACATAACAACCATCTTAAGTAGACTCAGATATGATCAGAAATTTAAAACAATTCTGACTAAGATACTAAGAGTTCTCTCCCACTACTCAGAAGGCTGAGGCAGGAGGATTTCTGTGATTTTGAGGCCAGCCAGAGCTATACAGTGAGTTCAAGGCCACCCTGGACTACACAGAAAAATCCTGTCTCAAAAAAAAGATAGATACATAGATAGACAGGCACAAGTATACAGTATAAGCAGAGAAATGAGAATTCTAAGAATAAACCAAAAAGAAGCACTACCAGAGTCAATATATTACAACAGAAACAAATGCCTCTGATATGATTTTAACACACTGAGCATGGTCAGCAGAATACCCAAGAACTATGCAAAAAAAAAAAAATTAAAAAAATAAGGTAACACACACAAAATGGGAATTTCAGAAGGAAAAGAAAGAACAGAACAGAATATTATAAACAATAGTAACTAAAAATCTCCCCAAACTATCAAGCATCAAATCACAGATCCAATAAGCTTAAAAAGCATGGAGCAAGATAAATGTCAAGGAAACTACAAAAGAAACATCATACCTGAACTACATTAAAGTCAAAAATAAAAAGAAAACTCTAAAAAAAAAGCCAGAGGGAAAAAACACTTTGCCTATAGAAGACCTAAAATAAGAATTCCATCCAATGTCTCTTCAGAAACCAAGTAAACAAGAAGAGAGTAAAGTGAAATATTTAGTGTTGAACAACAACAACAAAAAAAACTCAATTATAATTCTGCACTATGTAAAAAGGTGAAAGATATTTTCTCAGCCAAGCAAAAATTGAGGAAATCTGTTCCCAGCAGATCCACCTTGCAAGAAATATTAAAAGAAATCCTTTAGAGAGAAGGTAATGATAAATGTAAGATATCTGGATCTACATAAAGAAAGGAACAGCACAAGAAAAGGAATAAGTAAAGGCAAAATAGAATTGTTTTTCTTGTTCTTGACTGATCTAAAATAAGTTTGTTTAAAATAATAGCAACAAGGGCCGGGGATTTAGCTCAGTGGTTCCGCCGCCTGCCTCACATGCGCAAGGACCCAAGTTTGATCCCCAGTACCAAAAACAAAAAAACAAAAAAGTAGCAACAACACACCCCCTAATATATGCATATTTACACATATATGCTTATATATAAGCAAAATGAATGACTGCAATGATAGAAGAGACAAAAGGGAGGAATTAGAAATTTTTCTATTTTGTTATCTTAAGGCATTCCCACTACCTAGGAAGCAGCATGTTATTTGAAACTGGTCTTGGATTAGTTATAAACTCTAAGGCAACCACCAAAATAAGACAAATATAACTACTGTGCTAAGGAGAGAAAATGGAATTACACAAAATGTTCAGTTGGAAACCACAAAAGGCAAAACAGTGAAAGACATAGGGCTGGGAATGTGGCTTAGTGCTGCTGAGCCTGACTAGCAAGTGTAAGGTCCTGAGTTCGATCCCCGGTACCAAAAAAAAAAAAAAAAAAGAACAAAGACAACAAATAGAAAACAGTACAGATATGGTAGTATTAACCTAATGATATAACCTAATGATATCAATAATCACTCTCAAGGTCAGTGTCTAACTGCATCAATTAAGAGACAGATATATCAGAACAGAATACAAAACAAGACCCAAGTGCATGTGTTGGCTACCAAAAACAGACTTCAAATATAAAGACACACAGGGCCAGGGATTTAGCTCAGTGGTTTTGTCACTTGCTGCGCAAGCACAAGGACCTAAGTTTGATCCCTGGTACCAAAATATATATATAAAAAGACACACAGAAATTTAAAATAAACATATGGATAAAGAGAAACCAAGCTGATGATAATGAAAAAGTAAAACACAAATAGCTATAATTTCAGACAGAGCAAACTTCAGAACAAAGGAAATTATCAGGGATAAAGAAGAACATAATGATAAAAGAATGGATTCCCCAATAAGATATAACAATCCTTAATTTGTATGCGCTTCAGAGCATCAAAATAATGTCAGGCAAACAAAGAACTTCAAAAAGAAATGGATGACTCCACTACTATAGTTGGAGACCTCAACATTCCTTGTCAAAAATGGGCAGATCTAGCAGGCAGAAAAATCACAAAAGATGTAGGGAACTCACCAACACTGTTAATCAAAAGATATGATGAATATCTATTTACCCATTCACCAGTGGCAGCAGAATACAAACTGTTTTCAACTTCCCACAGAACATTCACCAAGATCGACACATCTTTGAGTTAGAGATACAGCTCAGTAGTAGAACTCCTGCCAGCATACATAAGCCCCTGGGCTTGATCCCTAACACGGCACAGACACAGAAACACACACACACACACACACACAGACACACACACAGACACACACACACACTCTCTCTTAATTTAAAGGAACAGAAATCATACACTATTATCTCTCAGACCACAATAGAATTAAACAAGAAATCAAAAACAGCCAGAAAAATCCCCAAATACTGAAAATTGAACAACATACTTCTACACGAATCAAAGAAATCCCTAGAGAAATTAAAAAGTTCTTCGAATTAAATAAAAATGAAAGTATAATTTATCATAT